AAGCTCAAATAGATATGTTTTAGATACATAACTTATAGATTCTCTTACTGGGCTTTATATCTCATTCCTCATTTTTCTACCCCTGTAGAGTAGAAGTTGCAGGTTAACAGACTGCCAGTTGGGGGAGATCAATCTGGTCGATGAAGGTTTGTACCTGTGAAGAAGACATTTGGCTTGTATGTATTTGTCAGCTGTGGGCCATGTTCTTGGTGGTCTTTTGGAAATATTTATTTTGTATTTTGGGCCTTGTGTGCCTTGAACGGATGTATTACTTTAAGATATTTATGTAATGGCATTCTTAATTCTCCTTTTACCTAGTTTCTGGGTTTAGTGTTGGAGTTTCCTTACTTACTTAGTTTGCTTAAGTTACCGCTTTATCAAAGCAATGCGCTACTCTTTCTTGAGTCGTGTTCGCTACCTATGGATCACGAACCCACACCCTGCTAACCTCCGGTGTGTTCGGTGGATCAGGGGGCGGGATCGTGACAATGGTGATCTGGTCGTTTCTCTCTCTACAACACACCGTTGTTACTGTATGACAGGAGTACAAATAGAAAAGAAAGAGCAGAAAAAAATAAAGTGAGAGAGAGAGAGAAGCGAAAGTCTCTCACAACTCGAGCACTGTGTGATTCAGTGGTTAGAGTAGTAGAAGAGTTAGAACTCTAAAGAAGCTAACTCATGATGACCCTAACCCAAGTGGTCGAGTGCAAGAGAATTAATGTCTCTTATGACCTAACTTTACTATACGAGCTGATGGTTAGAGTAGCAATCCGAGAGTTAAAGCCCTAGGGCATTATCTCATGACGACCCCAACTTGAATGCTTGAGGGTGAGAGAAGAGATGAGTGAAGAGCAAGAATACAGAAAGAAAGAAGAGAAGTAAAGAGATGAGGTAAGAAATAAAATGTAATAGTTTTTAGAAAGAGAATAAAAGAATTTTAAGAAATGAGATGAATATTTTAAAAGAGGATAAAAATTTAAAGATAAAGATTTAAGAAAAGAGAAAGAGAATTTTATGTGAGAGAGAAATTTTTAATAGAAGAGAAGGGTTGAGAGAGATAAAGAAATAGAGAGATGAGAAAAATAGAAAGTAAGAGAATAGAGAAAGGAAAAGAGAGAGAGAGAGAGAGAGAGAGAGAGAGAGAGAGAGAGAAACTTAAGCAAAGAAAGAGAGAGAGAGATAGAGTCTTTAGAGAAAAAAGAGAGATTGAGAGAGGTAAAGAGATAGAAAGATGAGAGAGAGTGAGCAAGGATGATTGAGATGATTTTTTTAAAAAAAAAAATAGATTGAGAGAGTTTAGGGAAAGGGAGATAAAGATGAGAGAAGAGAAGAGACAGAATGAGGTTAATGAGAGAGAGAGAGATAAAAACGTGAAAAGAGAGAGAGAGGGGTTGAGAGATTGGGTACGTGAGGAAGAGAGAGATGAGATTTGAGAGAGAAAGAGGGAGAGAAAGGTGGTATGAGATAATGATGAGTGCGTGAGGGAGACGGAGAGATTCAAGGGATTGGGAGAGAAAGACAGAGATGAGAGGGAGAGATTTACATGAAGGGAGAGAGAACGAAAGACAGAGATAAAGAAAGAGAAGAGATTTGGAGAGAATATGCAAAGGAGTGATGAGGAGAGAGAGAGAGAGAGAGAGAGAGAAGATAAGAGAAAAAGAGAGAAGATAAGCGAGAAAGAAAAGGGCAGTAGCCCAGTTGCTGCTCGTGGAGGAGAGAGATTCGTGGGGGTGAGAGAGCAAGAGAGATGGTAGAGTAGAAGAGAAAGATCAAGGATAAGAGAGAAGAAAGAGAAATTAGTGAGACAGGGAGAGAGAAGGTTAGCGGTGGAGAGAGAGAGGGTGAGAGATTTGGTTGGTGCCGCAGGCCGAGTAGGATAGGAGAGATAGGTTTGTGGGGGTGGAAGAGAGAAATACAAAAGATTGGAGAGAAAAAAGGGAAGTTGAACCCACCTATGGTGCGGGTCCGTAGCTTGGACGATAAGAGGGAAGGTGAGAGAGAAAGAGTAGGACGATAGAGAGGGAGAGATAGAAAAAGCAGAAAAAAAAAGAGGTAGACTCGCCTTAGGCATAGTTCTGTGACGGTGAGTGAGAGGGGGAGAGAGAGAGGAGAGAGAGAGAGAAGTGGGGAGAGGAGGTTTAGAGAGAGAGAGAGAAGAGGGGGGAGAGGTAAGGAGGTTTAGCCAGAGACAGAGAGGAGGTTTAGCAAGAGAGACTCATGAATCTGGTGAGAAAAGAGAGAAAATTTAGGAGGTAGGGAGATTGACAGAGGGGGCAGTAGTTACAAACCCACTGTGGGTCTGTGCACAATAGGAAAAGGGGAGAGATTGAAGGTGAAAGGAGGAGGAGAGAGAGAGTGGGGGCATTGCTGCTCACGAATATGGTGAGGGAGAGAGAGAAGGAGAGAAAAGAGAGAGCTCAGACCCACAGTGGGTATGAGAGATAGAGAGAGGCTCAAACCTACTGTGGATCCGAGTGGGTGAGAGAGATAGAGAAAAGAAAGAGCTCTGACCCGCTATGGGAGAGAAAGTGAAAGAGAGGGAAAAGAAAGAGCTCCGACCCTCTGTGGGTCCAAGAGAAAGAGAGAGAGAAAGTGAGAGAGAGAGGAGGGGCTTGAAGCTGTTGTGGGTTCGAGTGGGAGAGAGAGAGAGAGAGAGAGAGAGAGAGAGAAAGAGAAAGAAGAGAGAGGAAGAGAGGAGAGAGAGTGGACCTAGGTGGCTTAGGTTTGGTGCGCCTTCAACAGACCCTTTGCATGTATTTGAGAGAGAAGCCTTGATCTTTGTGGGTCAAGGCTAGGGTCTAAGATCTAAGTGTATGACTTATGTGGGTTGGGGTGAGGTATGATGTATAAAAACTAGAGTGTATAGGCTAGGTTAGTATGCATGGGAGGTTTAAAATGTTTAGATGCTATGGTGTATTAGTGTAGCTAAGGTGTATCGAATAAGGTAGGAGGAAAGCTAAAGTGTATAGGGTACTATATTGTATGGAGTACTATGGTGTATGGTGTAGGGTAGGGTGTAGGCTAACTAAGATAGGGTATAGGGTGTATGGATTAAGATTGGGAACTAGGGGTTCTACGGTGTATGGACGCTAAGAGTTCTAGGGAGTATAGGAGTGGGAGTTGGGAATACTGAGGGAGTTGGGATTTTTGGGGTTCTAGGGAGTGGAGGGTTCCTAAGGGTATTTTCTCTCTTTAGGAAATATTTTTCTCTCCTCCCATCTTGAGTCTTGAACTTGAAAGCAAAGTAAAAACAACAAGTATAAACCTTGGAATTCTCAAGCCTTTCCCATTAATTTCTAATACTTTCAAGAGAGATCAAGAGAGAGTATTATGAATGACATAGGTTCCTTATATAGAGCAACTACAAAACAAAGGTGAAATGCTCAAAAACACCCTAAATTATGAAAAAATAAACATTTTACGAATTAAAATATTAATCCTATTTTTAGAACAAATGATCAAAATACCCTTAGGTACGTACAAAACCATCCCTCCATGAGGGGTCTTGCCATTGCTAGGCCTGTTAAACTTATTCGGATGCTTACGGTGGTAATTCGGGTGATTAATCGTCGTAGAATCGATACTTGAACTATTGCGCATGGTTTGATACCCTTTGATTGCCCTGAAACGGATTTTTAAAGAAGAACCCAAAATCTGCCAAGTTCCATAAACTTGTTATTCTTCAAACACCGATCCGATATGATTCATGACATTCTAAGCCTTCATTTTATCACAAATTGAAGATGATAATATCATGATCATTTTGTGACAAATTTCATCAATTTTAGTATCTATTTGAACACATTCCAATTTTGGGAAATCGCCGAAAAATGAGATTCCGGCAATTGAAAAAGTATGCCATCTTCGACCTCAAAATTTGGCACAATCTGGCCTCCAATCTTATTCAAAAACTATATCAAACCATAGCTCTTCGAAGCACGGTCGCAACAGACTCATACTTGATAGCCTCTCAAAGAAATAGATGTTCTTATTTTTAAAATCTGAATTTTCATGTTTCGAGTCCATCTTATCTCTAGAAATTCTCTCGTTTCGGGCCATGTCATGACGCGTGCCATATGTCAAAACGAGCGGATCGTCGAGATCTAGTTCGTGTCTGAATTTGAGCTTAACTGAATTCAAAACGAGCAAGTTATGAATATTTGAAAATCATCTTAAAATGAGAAAACAAAGTTTCCATTTCCATAAAGGGACATTGGTTCACCGAGGCTGTATTGTAATAGTGTAAAACTCACTTTTTTATGGTAAGTTAAGCTCAAAATGATCACGAATGGTCCGATTGAGCCGAAATTTGATACCTGACGGTTTTTCAACGTTTCGGAACAAATGACAATGGTCTGATATTATTTTGAAACCTAAAAAATATGACTCTAGTTATAGGGTCTAGTTTCAGCATGATAGGAACTGAATTTGAAAACCAAGTTTCATCTTGATCATATCAAAACTTGTCAGAAAGCGAAGAAACTTTGTGCGTATCCTTAGGGTATCCAAAACTACCATCTCATTCAATTTGAGGCCATTTTGACACTTCTTCAGAGGTCGCCCAATTATAGGCTTATTCTAAAGTGTTCCAATGGTCTGGCGGCGTCTTGGGCACCGGCGGGACCAGGTTACTACCAGCTCTCTCTTTATTTTCCCCAGGGATACAAGTATATTAAAAATGACGTATAATAACCTTATTCCATCATTCCGCTCCGCCAACCCTCAATCAAACCATAGGTCACCATATATCTGCTCACTACTTTCATCCATGTCCTTTTCACCCTCTCCTTTACCATTTTAAAACCTTCAACTTAAACCAAATTGCTCCTCCTAATTAGTTTTGTTCTAGATCGTCGCTACATATGACTAGACCACCTAAGTCTACTCTCTCTCTCTCTCTCTCATCATCTTATCACCTATTAGAGCCACCTATAAATTCTCTTTGATGTATTCGTTTTAAATTTTATCTTTTCTTATCTTGCCACTCATCTATCTTAACATTCATATCAAGTACAATTACATTCATGAAATTAAGATACAATGAAATACTCTCCTACAACAATTAAAGTAGTCCTCAAAGTGCATACTCTTGCAAGAATTAAAATTGCCCAAAAGCAACTGCTTATTATAGACATGACAGTGAAAATGCATAGGCTACTTTGTCCTTAGAGAGAGAGAGAGAATGCAATAAACTCTATTTAGTCTTTTGAGTAAGCTCCAAAGTCACCTTCTTCATGGTGTATTCTTCTCCTCGAGGTGAATTTGTAGTACACAAATTGCATGATTATCTTAAAATATTAAGAAAAAAATAATTTGTACCCAAGAGGATCAAAACCAAGTGTTTTTTTTTTTTAAATTCAACTGAGAGAAGGAAAACAAGTATTAGTAGCAATGGTTAAAGGATACAAAGAGATCAAGTGCCACACACACAATGGCATCTAGTAGCCATGGCATGTTTGCTTTGATCATGTCCCACTCCGTGCTTCTGAAAAGAATACTGCAAATCCTGAACCATGAGAGAGAGAGAGAGAGAGAGAGAGCTAGTAGTTGCCATGCCGGTTATGAGAGATAGAGAGAGACCCCTAATAGTAGGGCTGAGAATGAATCAGATAAGGTCTAGATCCACTAGGATTTGAATACAAATCCAAAAAGTATACACGGGATCTGGATCTATATCTAGACCCGATTAGATCTAAAAAAAATTATTTAATATATTATTTTATATTTATGAAGTAATATATAACAAAAAATACTATATAACGTCTATGTATATATAAAATAATATATAATATTTTAATAACTAGATCGGATCTAGATCAGATCCACTTGTACCAGATCAGATCCAAATTACTATTTGGATCTAAAATTTGGATCCAAATACGACCGGTCTTTGATTCATGCTCATATCTGAATAGGGCCTAAAATTCGAATTTTAGATCCAAACCGGTAAATTCTCAGCCCTACATAGTAGTTGCTATACAAGATTTAGTGAGAGAGAGATGGAGAGGGGGGGGGGGAAGAGAACCTGCCCACATATGTTGCATTGGCGATCAAGGCGAAGACAAACATAAGGGGATTTAAACCCTATGAAGTTCAAGAAAATAAGAAATTAGAAAAATTATATCCAAAAGAAAAATGGCACTTTTTTTCCAAGCAAACAATAATCATTGAAGTTGTAAGAATAATGGAAATCCAACGATACCTCCACGCTTCCTCGTTTCATCTGACAAAACACAGAATTGTAGAAAAATCAGCCTCATATCCCTTACAAAATACATATTAAAAAGAAGAAAAAACAGGAAAAAATGAAGAAGAGAATAGTTAAGACAAGATAGTAGAAATAAATATTGCTATATAAGCAAAGATTCATATAGTGAACAAATAATTGTCAAGCCAATTTAGAATCACTTGAGTTGACAAAAATCAAAGAGGCATTTGTTTCCTGATAGCCATAAACAGGGAAACTACCCTAGTTTGCCCAAAATTAAGTCCCTTAAGGGAAACTACCCCAATTTAACCAAAATTGGGCAGTTCACTATGGTGAATATCATGGTTAAAAGTATATAAAACTATTTGATCAAAGCATTTCACTATAGTGAGCATCTTCATTTCTTTAGGTAATTCAATGGGGAAGATAGGCCTCCACCTGTTTTTTCAAATAGTTTAGGAATTAGTTTTGTTTAAGGTATTAATGAGGCGGTGTTAGTGGGAGACTATAGTAAATATCATAGTTCACTATTCAAACTACTGTGATTTCTGAGTCTTAGGAGATTGTTTTTTCATTATATTTTTTAACAGATTCCCATGGTCAAGCCAATTCAGGAATCCGCAATCCGACCCAGATCAGTGGGTGTTCAAGTCGCAATAATAATTTACAAAGCTCACATTTAAATATATTTGAGGAAGTCGGCCTCCCATGTAGATGGCAGCCATCATCCACCCCAACCACATGCCGTACACCTTCCTCGATTCTCCATGTTCCTGCAATGTCATGGGCTCAAATTAAAAATATCAGCATTGTTTAGTATGAGACCATTCATCTTTGTTACAAGAACATCACTAAGTCGTTACATTTCAAACTGGATGACTTAGTGTGTATCACAAAATTGAAATAACTTTTATTTGAGTTTTGGATTTAGTCCTCACTCACAACCACCCAATTTAAATTCCGATTGATAAGAATGATTATGATCTCCTACGAAAAGTAAATAGTTTATTTATATACTTTCCCAAAAATATCCCAAGTAACTTAGTGTTCTACTTAATGATTTCACAAGGAGAGAGAGAGAGAGATGTATGGATGTATTATGGAACTAAATGAACCTGTAATAGTCTCCTTGGAATTGGAACTGCATCCCCTTTGATGGGTAGGGTAAGTCCACTCGCAATGAAAGTTCCATAACCCACCTGTATACAATTAGTTAGTATTTTCATGGTGAGCTCTTTCACTAGCAAGGTAAATAAAGTGAGAGCTAATTATAACTTTGCAAATATTAGAGAGAGAAAGTAATGCAAATATTAGAGAAAGAAAGTAATTTCCTTACCGCATTTAACATTCTCTTTGGAGCACTAGCTGGTTTAGCATGGGCTCGTTCATGGTCATCATCCTCAGAAGAGGAGGAATATGAAGGAGCAACAGGAGGAACACTCTTTGTAACCCTAAGAAAAGAGTCATGTGGTGGTGGTGTTCGGGTAAAGGCTAAAGATCTTGCAGAGCTGTAAACCAAACTTGAAAGAGCTTAATTATCCACTTTTAGAATGCAGAAACACAACTTATCACATCAAGGGAAAATATTTTATAGAAATTGCATTTCTGGAGCTAGAAAAACTATCAATTGCTCATCTCGTCCTCGACAGTCAATAGATAAGAGACAAAGATGGATTTTTTAAAACTAACTATCGCATTAACACATTTTTTAGACCGCAATTTCATCTTTTCGCAAATTTACCAATTCTGCACTTTAAAAAAAAAAAATAAAAAAAAAATCTAAGTGCCATGTATAGAAGGGTGCAGTTTACATACAGATGCATCCGGAGGTGTAGAGGTAAGATGCACCTTCAAATTTTATCATGGTATATAATTTTGATGTAAAATGTTTTTAGGATTATCCCAAAATCTATTTTTATGTCTAATTATAAAATTTTAAATTTAAAAAATGGTTAAAATCAGGTAGATCTATAAACATATGAAAATCTTGAAAATAGACAATGTAGATAATATATTGTAAAATGCACTATTTATAATACTTAAAATCTTTTTATTTTTCAAAGTCATACATCTCGATGTCAAGATGATCAAACAAAAGGTTTTTAAACATTAAAACTACCTTTTCCGATGGATTTTTGAGGAGGCATCTATCGTTCTACATTATAAGGTAGCATCCTTATATAAACTTTTTTTCTTTTAAAAAAACCCTCACATTTTTTTTAAAAAAATTATATTTCATTTTTTCAATATTAGTTAGATAGTCGGTCTACATCGGAAGTGGCGGACCGCGTGCTTGACCCAAAGATCCTCATCTCTAAACACTGATTACGGCGTTAAATTTTTCAAACACCAGACACAGTTTTTAAATAGGTAGACAAGGTTACATCCAATAAATCTTTTTTTTCCCTTCCCCCTCAAAATTTAGGATCCTAAAAGTAATCACATACAATCATGGTTTAATAGTTAATCTACTTTTTTATATTTTAAAATAAATAAGCTAGCTGTACAAAATGGTCCTATAGTGGCAAACTTCATCTATCTTTTACTTTTTGAAAATTAACTAGAATAATTCCACGTAAAAGAGACATGAAATGATGACAAATTTACAACACTTTTTTAGCATAATTAGGCAAAATATTGAAAAAAATAAAATTGGAGGAGAAGGATTAAACTTACAAAATATACAAATTCATCCCATGAGATGTTGTATCATGCATTCTTGCACCAGCCATAGGTATGGGCGTGCTTGGAGGATTGCCCTTCGAGTTCAAAGGTTCAACCTACAATTGAAACAATTAAAGCACCATAGATACTTTTTCCTTTTTCTTTTTACAAACAATTAAGCCAAAATATTTCCTACTCCCGTGGGAGTATACTATCCATTTACTACCTAGGGTATGACATATAGGAATACCTTTTAGATCTCAAATTTTGGGGGATGTAACGTATACGACCCATAAACCACTTCTTAATAATAATAATAATAAGTCTGAAATAAACTCTCCATGTACTAAAAAAAATTATGCCTCAAGATTGAATAATGACCGTCCAATTTTTTAAGAGAAAGATCCGAGAGTCACAAAACTCAAAATTAAAATTTTTTATTTTGAAAATAATCTTATAGTAGTTTTAAATAAAAATAATCTTATAGTAGTTTTACTTTTAGACTAAAATAATATGGGAAAGGTTTTTATACTTCCCCTACATCATAGAAGATCTATGCTTCCCTTACCATTCAGCCGTTCAATTTTGATCAAGAGAGCCACTCACCGTTTGATCTTAAATCCAATGTCTCAGAGTATTTTATTTTTAGTTTTTTTATAAAAATTGTATGAATATGAAATTTGGTATGTGCCATCTTCTCATTGTGGCGCACTTATAAAAAATATTAAAAATAATTTTTTGATAAAATATAATGATCAAAATACCCCTTGAAGTTTTCAAGGTTATTTTGGTCATTATATTTTATTGGAAATAATTTTTTTGTATTTTTCTCTAGTGCGAGCTTAATAGAAGATTGGATGTACAAATTTTGGTGTTAAAATAATTTGTAGAAAAAAAATTTAAAATAAAATGGTGTAGAGACGTGACATTGTGATTGATGCAATCTTAGCCCTCCATTCAAAATGGACGGTTGGATAAGGGGAAGTATATAAGTTTTATGTTGTAGGGAAAGCATAAAAAGCTTGCCCAAATAATATCTCGCATAGTATGCCCTCGAGGGGCATAGTATACGTGCTCAACAATTAAAGCACCATAGATACTTTATGTGACCCTATATAACTTCTCTACCTAGTTCTAAGGGAAAATTATTGCAAAGACTATTTGTTTAAAGGGAAAATATTACAAAATCTATAATAAGACTATTTAACCAAGTGTGAATGTCACGATCAATTTTGGCTATTAGGTGTCAAATCTGGCGACTATGATCGTCCTATTGACATAAGTAGTGGTTGTCCCTTTGAAGGGCTCAAATGCTGAATGTTCTGTTTGTAAACTTTATCATACAAATATATTCTTATATTTTACGTGCCACGAGTGATTGTAACCTCATTTTAGCAAACCTAGATAATCTTATAAGACATAATCCCATAATTACATGGTCAAATCACCTCAAAGGATCAATGTGATGGGTAAGTAATTGATTACTTTTTATATAGAGCTGAGGCTCTAAACAATCAAATTTGAGCGTATCTCAAAAATTTCACTAGAAGAGGTTGTTTTAATGTTCAAATAAATTCAAATTGATCATCTCGACATCAAGATGTATGGACATGGGAAAAAAATGAATTTTAAGTTTAGGAAATATTGTATTTTGTAATATATTTTTAGATTGTTAATTTTCAAGATTTTCAAGTTTTCATATATCTGTTGATCTACGCTATATTTAAAGCTTTAAACTTTATAAATAGATATAAAAATATATTTTAAGTCTATCACAAAAATTTCCAATATTGAAATCACATTTCTAGATACTATTTGAATGTATACTATAATTTGATTGTTTAGAGCCTAGGCTCTATACAAACAGCACCCTTATTAAAATGGCCAAATCACTTCAAAAGATTCAGTAAAGTTAACAATTTCACTACTGAATTGATTACTTTTTAAAATCTCTCACTTAAGTATGCCCTTCAGATTTTTACTAAAAATACCCAAATTGCCCTAATCATTAGTTTGTAACCCTAAATAAGCAAAAGTGTATTCGTAAATTGACTCACTTAAATCACTTATACCAAAGACCTAAACACCACTGATTTAAGTCTTTAACCATTAATATTATTCCATTAAAAAAACTTGCTTGAGTTTAGATCCCAGATAAGTGGGGGCATTTTAATAACTTGGCCCCACTTAAGGCACCCTAGTCAAAAAGATGGAAATACAATATTTGTTCTAGGTATTTAGGTCATTCAGCTATATTTACCTTTAGTAATCTGAGTGTCAAAATTATCAAATACAAATAAATAAGGAAAAAGTTCATATAATTTATTTTTTCTTTTTGTGTAGTTAAAAGAAGGAAGTAACGAGCACTCCAAAAAAAAATTAAGCAGAAAAGAGTGTTTCCAAGTCTGAAAACAATAAAGAAAAATAATAATATCAAACTTAAAAATTGTGCATCATATAACAAGTTTTATTAATTAGCTATCACTAAGTTTTTTAAGTGCTTATAAATATGCTCCATCTACCCTGTTTTTTAAATTTTAAATTTTATAATTAGGATTGAATAGATTTTCAAGTGATTTCTGACATCGGAACTACATCTTCTAGTAAAAACTTAGAATTGGACCTTACATATAAAGTATAGAGTGGGACCTTATACAAACCTCACCTATAAAAGAAACTCCAAATGATTTTTACTCACACAAGAGTATATTATCCATTTAGTCCTTCCGGCAAAATTTACAATAGGAATATCTTTTTGGATCCTAGATTTGAGGTGTTTGATCTTTAGAACCCAGCAACTGATTTCAAAGTAAAAAAAATTAACTCACTCTACATGTGCCTAGATAAAGTGCATCCCAAGATTGCATTAGAACCATCCAATTTTTATAGAAAATGATATAGATGTTCAAGAACTCAAATTCCAATTTTTTTTGCTTAAAAATAATCATCTAGTTTATAGTTTTGGGAATCCAAAATTTCAAAAATCTTACAAGTGTTTTGCCCCAGAGAGTAAATATATATAGCATAGAGCAAAGGGGCAAGCTTTCTATGCTTCCCCCACAACATAAAACTTGTATGCTTTCGTTTATCCAACCGTCCATTCTAAATGGATGGCTAAGATGACCCCAATCACAATGTCATGTCTCTACACTATTTTATTTTTAATTTTGGTTTTGCAAAATATTTTGACACCAAATTTTGGGCATCCAATCCTCTCTTAAACTCGCACTTGTAAAATATATATAAATAAAAAAAATCCCAATAAAATAAAATGACCAAAAGACCTCCCGAAACCTTTAAGAGGTATTTTGGTTCTTATATTCTATCGAAAAATTATTTTTAATATTTGTTTTAAGTGCACCTCAATGAGAAGATGACACGTACCAAATTTCATATTCATAGAATATGTAAAAAAAATTAAAATACTCCGAAACATCTGCTCTAGATCAAACGATGGGTGATTCAATTGGTCAAAATTGGACGGTTGGATGGAGAGGGAAGCATATATCTTCTATGCTATAGGGGAAGTTTAGAAACCATTCCCCATAGCATAGTATACGTGTTTAAAATAAATTATTTGACTCGAGTAATTTATTACCAAAAGACCAACACTTCAAACTTTTGGAATGATGGCAATGTAGGCATTTTCTCAAGAAGAGAAGGTGCATAAGTGAAATGACTCCTAAAAAAGGTTCTGTTTTTAGTAAACTAGTTGATTAACCACTAACTTTTTAAAGTGGCTAGACTTATTTTCTCTTAACTCATCACGAAAAAATCGTATTATAACATACCTCTGATGGGACATGATGCTCGATTTTGTGGTGTTTCAACCACTTAAGGAAATACTCATAGTAAATTGTCTGCAAAACTAATACGATTGTAGTGGCCGTATACAACTGCACTCGCAAGAACATAAACATTAGGGCTTTTTTTATGTTGGAAAAAGTTGATATTAGGTTGAGACATTAAAAATGTAGAATTAAGGTGCACCTCTAAAATCCTCTTAAAAAGGTTTTCTTGATGTTTCAAAAACATCAAATTGATTGTCCCGGCATTGAAATGTATAGATATGAAGAAAAAAACATATTTAAAGGCCTAAAAATAATACATCTTGCAACATGGGCCGTCTATTTTCAAGATTTTCATACATCTATAGATCTGTTTGATTTGAACTAGTTTTAGATTTTAAAATTTATAATGAGAGATTAAAATAGATTCTCACACCATCTTATGAATTTTCGGCACCAAAATTACATCTCATGCACCCAAAAAAAAAGCACAAATTCATAGTACACTTCTATATTAAACAAAAAGCAAAATTCACATATTAACTATTCATTTCCTATTACCCTTGGTGTGCTGTTGCAAACCCATTTTGAATGAGAGATTTCATGGGTTTAAAGCATAATTGGAAGTTAAGAGTATGATACATTTTTTTCTTGTTTCTATTTAACTCCACCATGGCTACATGGCTAGATCCACACCTGAATAAGAAAGGAGGAAGGTTGTATTAAGTTAGTAGCATAAAACTCTGCCACATCTTTATCATGAATTCTGATCAAATGTGGTGGAACATGATTTATGTAGCCTATCTCAAATAGCTGAAATAACGGTATGCTGAAGATAATTATGATATAATTTTTGTACCATTTTTTAGAGGCTTTTGTTGAAAATGCAAATCAAGGGTCTAAATATTCTTCCTTGGAGAAGCCAAATTTAACACGCCATTTTAAACCTTTTAGAGGTTAACCGTTTTCCTCTAAAAGATGCAATGGATTTTGGCATGAGGCTTTCTAGAGCTCTAAGATTTCGGCATTAGGCTTTCTAGAGCTCTTCTTAGAGGTTAGAATCCCGATTTAACCTCACAAAAACTGAAATTAGAATCCCAATTTATATTCAAGAAAACAAATGAATATGCAACTAAATCCTGACGGTCTAGATTCTTAGACTTAACCACCTTTTATTCACTTGAAAATGTAAAAAAGTAAAAATTAAAATGTGTGTTCTCAGAGTAGGGCTTACCAGGGCTGTATAGAACTGGGTTGGTAGCTGCCCAGAGATAGGAGATAAGTGAGTAATAAGCTCAGCACTAACTCAAATGGAGAGAGAGAGAGAGAGAGAGAGAGAGAGAGAGCTCACTGTAGCAGGCTCAAGAAGACAGCCCACCAGGTTGAAAACATCCCTACAAAACCATAATCATAATAGTGAAATATAAAGTACTAAACAAATGAAGATAACATTAAATAAATAGAGCTGTGATTCAAAGCTGAGGGGCCCATCATTGATGGCGGAAAACCAAATCTTACCCAACAACCCAAGTCAAAAGGAAGGCCAGGGAGACACCATCTGTGGCCTTGGTTGAGCAATTGGTGACAATCTGAGGCACCTCTGCAACTCCCCAGCACACAAGGCTCACCAATCCAAATGCAAAGGAAATCGAATCTCTAGAGTTGCACAGACAATCACCAAAATATTTTAGTACCCATGATACACACTCTTTTTGAGGGCTGCAAGATCTAGATGATGCTGTGTTCTTCTTCATCCTCTCACTCTCTCTCTCTCTAGATATATATGTGAGTCAAGGGGATTCTTTCTCCTTGAAGTCAAGAGTAATGCCCACTTCTTAGGACTTGAGCTTTCTTTCTCTCTGTGAAAAGTTTATAAGGGAGAACCAGTCTATATAGAGAGACGTGTAGAATATGCTTGAGTTTAGAAACCATAAATTTTTTCTAAACAATAAGGATATTCCGACTCATATTCCTCATTTTCTGAAAATAATCACCAACATCATGGTACACTTGAGCTATGTCCTTTGTACGTTTTACTTCTCGACTTGCATTATTTTATGAGGTTTGGCATGGGATGAGATACCCCAAGAATTCTAAATACCCATTTCCATCATGAGCGTGCCCACTAATACCCCTCATCTTCAACCCACTGTTTTATTGGACAGATTATTTACATTTAGTACAAGATGATACAATTAATAGATTATTGGATGTGAAATTATATTTAGTACAAGATGGTCAAAATCAATCTATTATTGGATGTGAAATTGGGTAACTGCATTTATTTCATTGACCAAGCTCTAAGTTCAAAAAAAACTTTATTGAAATTTGTGATACACCCAAGCTATTAGATTTAACATCATGGTTAGTGACTTTCTTATACTAAAAGTAAATGGTCTCATCGTATACAATGCCGACTATCTACATGTGAATCAATACTTCCATTTGATTAGGCCACTTCATACTAAAGGTAAATGGTCTCATTGTATACAATCTCGACTATACACATGTGAATCAATACTTCCGTTTGATTAGACCACTGAGTGGAATCTTAACCTTCTTCCAGTAGGTGGGGTGGATCATTCATTCATAGATTTATGTTAGATCGCTGGATCGAGGATCTGCATTGAGTCTCGATAGATCTAAGGTAGTGATCCAATACAAAGAAATATTTGAAATATGATAAGAATTGAAATAGAGTTTTATGGGATATAGGTTTAGAGAGATCATAAGAGAATATTAGACTAGTTAATAAATAAATAAATAAGGAAAGTGTAAGGGTGCATAGGCCAAGACCTATCCTATCTCGAAACTGGTTCGGTCCCAACTGATTATCTCCTGAATTGGTGATCTGGTGAAAAACTTTTCAAGGTTTTGAATCCCTAGCTTGCTCTCAAATAAGAGAATCTAAGATGATTCTATCTTTATTAGGATCTAAGATGATTCCATCTTTATTATTTTCAACCTATTGTTTGACTTGCACCACATCGCGGTCTGATTGCTGGTTTTGATCGAATAGGATTGGGTTTGGGTTCAGTTTGGGGTCTATTCAATCAGGATCGTTGGATCCTGGTGTCAAGCTTTCTCGAACTTGATCTGACCAGGTCCATGTCTAGGCCTTATGATCACGCCGGCATCAAACTGGAACGGCGACTCGTCGTTTCGGCCTTTCCGGCACGGACTAAAGCGTCCTTACCTTATTTTTCCTGGGGCAATAGAGCACGTGAAAATGACGGGACGATGATTGGGACCACTTGCCAATTCATTGACCCATGTCGACACTCGGGCGAAACATGATCATCCAGTTGATGATGTGGCAAACGGAAATCGTCAGATGTATGTCTTTACACGGGGATGCGGCGAGTGACGACGTAAGCGTGCCGTCAAATTTGGCCAATGCTGGTGATCGTGGCACTTTTAACCAGTCACCGTCTGCCACGTGTCCTGAAAGAGCTCTAGCGGTGCCGGATCGCCTCGTCCTGTTCTAAAGCTGTATATTTGAGAGAAGATGTCATCATCTCCCGAAATTTCGTTTCACAAAGTTTTAACGCCAAATAGTTGAGAGAAGATGACGTCATGTTAACGAAATTTCGTTTCTCAAAGTTTCGGCTCCGAGTGTCGTATTCAAATTTCTCAAAGTTTCGGCTCTGAGTGTCGTATTCTGGACAGCGACCAACTCTTCACCTTAGACCTGAACTTTCGTCTTCAGTCTTAGCCATTTGATCTTTTTCTTTTCTTTTTTTTCTCTTTAAATTAACCGAAATACACCCCTTTTTTGTATTCTATTTCTAAATTTTTGCGGCCATTTTTCGATTTTGCAACATTATTTTTTATGGTTATACTGCTTTCTTTATAATTAGCTTAATTAGATGCATTTAAAATTATCATTTACAGCTGGAAAAGAGTTGTATGCATGTGCGGAGGATTTCTACATTTGTGTCCCTCAAGGCATCAAACATCAATCTCAAAGATGGACGCATATGTGTGGTCCCTCTAAAAATAGTTAAAACAAATGCTCTAGATATTTTCTTCATTAAATTAGCATTTTAACTTTTTAAAATTTATTTATTTTTACATATTCATGATCTTCATATTAAAGATTATATACTCCATAAAATTTAAGCCCCAACTCCAAATCAAAAAATAGAGTTCAATTTTTACAAAGGAGTCTTAGGATTCATAGAAACCTACATTTGTGTTCTACTTTTACATCCGCCGCTCTTATTCTTCATTTTTTAGGCGTTCCAAAATACAACCAGTTAGGGAATATTATTGTCAAACTTCTTATTGTAAGAATCAAGTATTTGAGAACTATTAGTCCTGCACTTCTCATTATAAGGAATCAAAGCGGTCTAAAACTATTAGTTTGAAACACTCCTCGAAAGGACAAACACGCTAAATAAGAAATCAAAGCTGAGGGGCTAGATAAGGAGATATCTATTAAGGAAAAGTATACAAAAAGACCACTGCCATTTAAATGCCACTAATTATAAGAGATATCAGATTTTTTTTTATTTTTTTTTATTTTTCTTTCTATTGGTAAATGACAAAAATGAAGTAGACTAGAACCAAAGAAGTGTTTCCGTCTAGGTAATGCGAGTTCGTCCGTGGCTTTGTTCCTTTTGCGAAAATGAGAGATCATGAAGGGACCCAACGGTCGACGGCTCTGATACAATGTGTCCACATGCATTGAATTAGGGGTGATAGGAATAAGTCTAGGTTCAGTATATCTTTTTGGCTAGATGTGGCAATTGGGTTTGGTTTTTACGGCCCAGATTTGAAGGCATGATGGAGTTCGATAGATCCAACAAATGTTTACGAACCGGGTCGGGTAGTCCAACCCGGCAGTTCCCTGTCGACTTGGTGAACCGGCGGACATGGATCAGTCATCCAATTCAGCCACTTAAAGCTAAAAAATAAAACAAAATGAAATAATATGCAAAAAATAAAATCACAATGAAATTTGTGAATAAAAATTTTGTATGAAATTATCGAAGGAGTATGAATCTCAAGAGTTTGGTTCCAGTGTGAATGGAAGACAATTCTTTCGAAATTCATGATATAAACTCCAGTAAATTTCAATGTTGTACCCTTCGGTAAAATGTACAATATTTATAATAAAATATATATAATATTTAAATATTTATTAACTACAAAACTGAATTTTAAAAATTCTTTGGGGAATTACCAAATTTTTTGAATTTAATTCAAATCTTGAATTTCAAAATTTGTACTGTTGTACACTTTTTAATCTAGTTAGATAAGCATTTATATATTTTCCATTTTTGTTAGATAGATTCCTAATCTCTTGTATCTTCCACAAATACCATACCATTGGCGTGGTGCATAGTAACATTTTACTCATAGATCCCCTACCACCTTATGCCGAAGCGCGCCCTTTTGTAGAAGGAAGCTACAACCTTTACTATGGTTCAATCTCATGCATCGGATAAACTCATTCCAAATCGTAATACTGCCCAAAAAAACTCAAGGACCGGTGCACACCCCTTGCTGCATTGTGATTACTGTTACAAAGATGGTCATATGAATTACCGATGTTTCAAACCTGTTGGCTATCCAAAACGGCAAAACAAGTCACGTGCCTACAATGTTGAATCCACTCTATTTCTCTCAACTAGCCAACTTACATCTACAGTAGCTCATCAATTTACACCCGAACAATATCGTCAACTTTTGCAAATGCTACCGTCAATTTCACAAAAGTTCTTGGGAAAGATCAATTTAAGTTTCTCACATGAAAGTTGGGCTTTCTCAATATTTACCCTCCAACTTGAGAGAGAGTGTTGGGAGTTACCAAAAAATTTTAATTGAATTTCAAATTTTGTATTGTTGTACATTTTTTAATCTAGTTCAATACTGTAATAAAATGCATTGAAAAATGGTTCCAGCATAAAGTGCTCCAAGAATTCACAGTAATGAATAAAATTTTTGAGCAATCAAGTTCTCTAAAAAAAATACAAAACCACGCAAAAAAAAAAAGAAAAAAAAAAGAAAGGAACTTGGTAAAAATTCCCAACAAAATATCTACAAAAAAATAAAAATGCATAAAAAAATCTAAGGCATAATTTTAGAAAATTAGAGAACCTAGCAAAAACAAATTTTGATTTTACTAGAATTTGGAGGAAAATCATCACAACATTTATCTAAATCAATTCTAGCACATCTAAAGCAAGAGTCCTAATAAAGTTGAACATAATATTTAGTTATTTACAACAAAATAAATTTATTAAAATATTTGAGGCAGGTTTTCAAAAATAAAAAGGAGAGCTTAGATCTCTTCGAATTTTGTAACCCATCCAACAAATTTGCATAGGGCTTTGCTCAACAAATGTCAAATTGTTTGGTTAATAATTAAAAAATAAAAAATAAACCAAAGGAAAAAGACAAAATGTCAAATTGTTTGGTTAACAATTAAAAAAATAAAAAATAAACAAAGGGGAACAAACAAAAAATCCAAAAATTCGAAAATATAATGGAAAAGTAAATAAGATCACGTATTCCAGAAAAAGAAAGAAAGAAAGTGATTTCATATTATTGGATGTATAAATCAATTTTAAATCAAAAAATTCAAATTAAATCAACACTTGAAAAAGAGAAATGGCAGAAAAAAAATAAAAAATATCAAAATTTTGATGGACACGAAGTTTTTAGAGCTTTTGTAGATCGACCTTGTAGGAATATTTTTTAGACAAATTACAACATAAGCGATAAATCAATCATTTTTTATTTTAGATTCAAAACATGGCCCAAATTTTGGCTCTTAATTGCTTTTACTCGCATTTTTATAGAGCAAATCGGTCTAGGGGGGGGTTCAATAGAGATCTCATTGCAAACAAATTGATACATGTCTCTGAGCATTTAGTCAAGGATTAGGAGAGAATTTTATAGATGAAGTATCTATAAAGAGACCATTTATCTTTTATACATGGAGGTCTCAATCGTTTCCGCTCATTAGATGCTAAATTGGATGGCTTGGGGTAAGTCACAAAGT